AGATACAAGCGCAGGTGGAGACGGAGACATGGATACGGAGAGGGAGGGGGATGATCTCTCTGCAAGATGCCAAACCTGACAGCACAAGAGGTTTGATTCCTACCAAAGCAAATCTGCACTTTGGCTTTTCTGCTGTTCTCATGAAAAGGAAGAATGAAGAAAAGAGAAGTGGTTGTCAAATGGGCCTTTTCCTGATGTCAAAGATGATCATTTTCACCTCCATGGTAGCAGAAAAGATCGCTTCATCTCCAGCAACCAAGCAGAGGAGAGTTTAAACAAAGCAGCCATTAGCAGCTTCAGTCTTTAAGTTTCCTGTTGGACACTAGGGCTGTGTAATAATATCGATTTTGCGATATATATCAATATTATCTTTCCTAGAAAAAAAAATCGATATTCATCCGCAAGCATCGTAGCATCCAACTGTCACCTTGCTCACTCACTGCTGCTTCGCCAGGAGAGTGATTAGGTCATCAGATTCCTTCAGATGTTAAGTGTCAAGGTTAAAAAGGTATCAAACTATTCAGAGCAGGGTACTTGGTGCACTTTATTTACTTTACAAATGCATGTAAGCTAGTTTGTACTGTTTCAATTAAAAGAAACATGTTTTCTCACCACTTCTTTGATTCTTTTTGTCCAGCTGTCGACTTTAAGTCTGTGTCCATGTCCAACCAGAGCCAGGTAAAGTGTAGTTGGTGCTTTTAATCAGTTTTCAGTTAAATTAATTCAATCCAACTCTATATCACCAAAATCACTCTGTCCCTCTAAAATCTTTCAGAAAATCGCAAAAGTGTATTGAATTGTATCGTTTGCTGAATATTGCAATATATATCATATCGTGAGCAGAATATCATGTATCGTATCATTAGATTATTGCATCACTACAGCCCTGTTAGACACCCAGAACTATCAGCTTTAATTCATCCTTAAATGATGAATTTAAATGATGCCCAGGAGCATTTAATCAGTTTTCATTACGTTGCCTCCAAGTGGGGGCGCTACAGAGAGCTGCTGCTGCTCTCCACTCAGAGAGAAAGGATCTGAATGAGGCCTATAGTCTGAGATTAGCAGAGCCTGGTAACTGAGGAGGGATTGGCTGCGTTAGCTACACCGGCTAATGTTAGCTAAACCAGCTAATGTTAGCTAGCATCGCTCTGAGCTAATTCAGCTTCCCATGATGCATTTTCTTTGGAATATTTAGAAAAACTATGGAGAAAAAACAACATAAAACCAATGGGTAAAATTTACCCAAATAATTAGGACTTCCACAGAAAAATCTGCAAAGTTCAGGTCTGGTTTTTCTTCAACAAGAAATGAAATCTTTATAAAAAGTGACAACATGTTGCCTCATTAAATGACCTAAGAAAACCTACGTTAACGCTACTGCCATGGAAGCAAAGCTACGTTTTGTTCGCCTTTTTAGCCAAAGTTATGAAGAAGGCCCAGATCACTTTGCTGAGTGATCTGGGATATTTTTTTAATCAGCAGTAACTTCTGGGTCTGATCGCAGCGTCTCTCTGTAAACACCAGCTCTGCCTCCCAGACCTACAGCAGCTCATTAAAGTGACTCACAAGGTTTTCGGCTTCCACAATTAAAGTCATTTTTAGTTGTCGTCTACAGTCAATGCTGTCGTTTTTGGGGATAACTGCTGCTGATGCATATTAGAAAGTTTTTCCAACCACAAAAGGACAAATCATCATCACCCAGTGCTAGTTTTTACTAGTCTGTGTTGTTTTTCCTCAGTGTCTTTGAGCTACAACAGGTTCGCAGTTCTAAAGCCGACTATTTTTTTTTTTTACAATATCATTCACACTCCAGTAGAAACGTCCAGCACAGCTGCAGACAGAAGGATGCAGGACGGGAGTCGGACGAAACGTCAACATGAAGCTCATTCCAGGTCATTTAATCTCTAATCTGAGTCACAGAAACTCTCAGAATCTCCAAAACAAGCCTGAGGCCACAAGTTAAACTTTTATCCAGATTAGTCAAACCGTGAGGGCCCAGATCCAATAAGAGCTGGTTTAACCTCTTGACCTTTCAGGTTGACCTTTCTGGATCCTGCCAGAGTCGCTTAATTAAATGCAATTCATCATTTCACTGGAGAAACAGTTCAAAGTGAACATATTTAATGGTTCTTTTAACAAATAGAGGAGATGGAGAAGTTTTCATGTCCAGGGGACAGGAAGTGAAACAGGAAGTGATGTCATGAGGTTAAATCTGCAGGTAAACGTCTCGTCTCCAAGCGTTTCATTCACTCCCTTCACCGAGTCCAAACATTTCCTGCTCTGCTTCGGACCCAGCCGGACCGGACTGATCTGGACTCTGTGGTCCTGAAGGATGAGGGAAGTTAAAGATGGCTGACGCTGCGGCTGAACTTCTGCTGCGAACTGGTGGAGTTATTTCCAGCTCTGCCTTTAACCTTTCCATGCAGGTGCTGAGATTCCTGACCTTTACAGCCTGCAGCTCCCCGCTGCCTCTGAGTGCTTCTGATCGCTACAGAGTGGAGCTCTCAGCATGTGGAAATGCACTCTGCTTGTGTACGAGTGCGCTCTCGTCCGTTTCAAGTGCACGACCTTCTTTGTGTGCCGACTTGCTGCAGAGCCATGCGAGGGGGCTTTGTATGGGGAAACTCGATTTGACACGAACACAGTGAAGATTACCTGTGTCCAGACAGTTATTGCCTTACAGACAATAAGAACCACCATCACTCACTTTTAAAGGTCAATGTGCTGAAACAAGGGGCTTCGCCAAGCCGGAAATAACCTTACAAAAGACCCACAGGAGACACAGTGGGGAGGAAGGGTGGAGGTGAGGAAGAGGAGGAGAGTTGGAGGGCGGCTAACTCCACCACAGCAGGCGTCTTGGGGTGTTTTCCCACCTGACAGTCCAGTGGACTCAGTGAGCCTGGAGACCAAAGCTGCAACGTTTGTTACATTTCCAGCTGCTGCAACCTGTTCCCCTCCTGGCCTGTGGGGGCGCTGCACCAAGAACCACTGAAGGAAACAACCAAAAACCTCTGAAGACACTGAGAGCAACTTCCTTCTTCACCAGATGGAAACAAGATGGAGGCGTCAGATTTTAGCGGTTGGAGGATTTCTCTTTAGGCTAAAGACCAGGAGCCATTTCTGCTGCTAGCGCTAGGCTAACATGTTAGCTTTGGTTGTATTTACATAATATATTGATGTTATTACATCAATATATTAATATCTTTTTAAGCATTTACAAATTACAAAAAATTCATCTCTTAAAGCCTTATATTCTTCAAACCAGTCCCATCACTATCAGCCAAACAAACCTCATAAAACAGGACGAGAACATCTAGCTATTTCATACATCTGAGTCTATAGCGGTATAACTGGGTACATTCAGCAAGGGGTAAATGTAATGGATCTATTTTAAATGACGTTGAGGTTGAGTTGTAGTGGACTACAGTGGACCCTGTAGTCCACTTCCTGCTTTTGGAGCGGTCTCCGGTCCGCTTGGCGTTCACATTCAAACTGAACCCAGACTGAGGTTTGGAGACCAGAGTTTGATTACATGCAGAAATTCAGCCATTAAAGGGTTAACAGCTGATCAGCATCTGGTCACCTGCTGCTAAACAAAGTTTTTTAAACATTTGTTTCCCCAATTTTAACTTCTTTTATGGTTAATAAGCAATGACAACATTTGAGATGTGACTGAAATGAACATGACAAAGATCCAAATCAAACTGATCAGATTTCTAATTGGATGTGAATCAGAGCCGTTCAGCAGCCGTATGACTTCTAATCTGAGGATTTTTATCCGTCTGTCTCTGCTGCTGCTGACCGTTTATCTCAGATGTTGACCAGAAATGTTTTCCTCGGGTCACATCCTCTGATCTCAGATCAAATCCGCCGAGTCTCATTAGGTTTTCTGTTTAGAAGCAGAGACACTGAGCACACAGCGAGTAAACAAATATCCATAACAAGGACAAAATGCTCCTCCATCGTCCTGAAGCCGCTCGGCCTGCAGCGACTCGCTGCTCATTAGCTCAAACTTCTAGGTAGAAAACCTTTTCATTCTGCATCATATTATGGTTTTAATGATATCCATGGTTTTCCGTCTAAAAACAACATTTTCTGCATGAAAACTTTTCAAACTTAAACCATTTTGTTTGCAAAAACCATTAAAGTAGTTTTGCAAAACAAAGATTTTATAGTTTAGCCCAGAGCTGAGATAAATATTTGATTAAATAAAGGTGGGAATCTTATGCAGGGAACTGAATATTCTCCTCCTTGTTTCGGTTCGTCCGCCCACAGCAGCAGTAGATCAGTTCGGCCCAGAATACCCAGAATCCCCGGCGCTGCCCCTCCCACAGGCAGCAGCCAAACAGGAATCGATAAGTCTCTCAGCAGCTGCTGCTGTGGCCTGAATGTGAATAAACAGCCGTACGTTTTAGTGCAGGATCGATGCAGGTGGACGGATGAATGGCACACAAAGAGCGCCGTGTCCGTGCATGCGCTGCGACAAAGCCGGCGACTCCTGCGTCCAACTGCTCCTTCACCAAGGGCCGATCGATGGATGTGATGGATCAGTGACAGGTACGGCCATCAGCCAGCAGCACTTCCTATTCAGACACATTTCAATCACTCCCTGCCAGTCAAACATTCCTCAGTCTGCTTCAGGCTGACGGCGCCGCTCATCTGGGTTATTATGTCACCACAGAACCTGCTGCTGGTCCAACCTGGCAGCAGGACTGAAGAACCAAGTTTCTGCTACGATCCACGGCTTCCACGCCTTCACACAGCAGGCAGGCTGAATGACCCAATTCTGATCCTTTCACCCCAAAAACGTCAGATCTGTTCCACTTCCAGATGTGGAACTAAATCAGACCCGATAGTTTTCAAATGCCTGCAGTCTGAACCATCATGTCGCATTTTGTCCGACATTGATGTGAGACATGCGTCATAATTCTGCAGCAGAAGAAGACAGACAGAAAATCCAGATGGAAACAATGTCTGAAAGACGTCTGTCAGTGAAGCAGAGGAGTAAAGGGAGGATGATTGACAGCGCTAAGCCCCTCCTCCTGGCTCTGATAGGTTGTTTCTAGGTAGCATTGGGAGAAGGCAGAGGAAATGAGTTTTTCTCAGATCATCTCTCTCCTTAGGTTCAGCAAATACGTAAAAAAATAATGACAAAAGTTAAATTCTGCAGCTTTAAAGCAGATCTTTCTATCAAACATGTAATTAAATGAGTTGGTTATTTCTATGGCTCCAGCAGGTGGTGCTGTTGATCCTGGCAGCTCTTACAACTTTACTAACATCAGAAACAAGAGAACCAGAGGAATCGCTTCAGCTGAAGAATCGATGCAGCTGCACTGAACAGAATCAGAACCAGCTTTATGCTAATCAGGAGCTAAAGACACAAAGCATAAAAACTATCTTAACATTTACTTCTAGTTACTTCTGGACAGAAGCTGGCTGGTTAGAGAGAGCTGTAGCCAAGCATGAAGGAAAGTTGAGTGGAAGGAAAAACTCTTCATTAAGCCATGATAATTAGTAACATGTCACTTTGTGTTGAATTAATTAAAACAATGTATTGTTCTGTCAGGTCATTCCATCAACATGGACACTTAAAGCACGACTTATTGGGATTCACTTAATGATGGAGCAACTCCAAGAGAAACAGAAAACGTTGTGGAGGAACGAAGGCTGGGTGCCAGAAGTCCCCTCATGTCTGCAATGGGCAGCTGATCAGAGAGCTGAAGCACCAGAACAGGTAATTCTTCCTCCAATAGTCACACTCATCTCCATAATGACTCCAACTAAAATTAACGAGTCTTCAGAGAATACAGCGCGCTGAAGAGCACACAGACATGAATCAGAGCTCATCAGCTCAGCAGACTGAACAAAGAAACTTTCCTGCTGCTTTGCCTCTTTCCTTCCATGACTGGCCAGGAAGCAGAGAAATCCCAGGGCCAGGCGGCAGCTTGGCCGGACCCGGCCTCTGGAGGCTGAGCAGGCGGCAGATGGAGGGAGCACACCGGGTCTTTACGGGCGCAGCGCTGCAGCTCGGGGCTTCAGCCCCCACAATGCTGAGACGGTTCCTTTCACTTCCCTCTGCGCCGATATGAAAGGGCAGAGGCATCAAGCATCCCACAGTAATGACAGCTTGAAGAGTGAAAGCTGAATAAATGCAGAGGAGGAGGAGACGGGCAGCAGAGGTCAGGAGCGTCGGGTCAATGCGAGGAACTCGTATGACTGAGAATCGCTCCAATACTGAAGGTTTTATTTGGTCCAATAACAGACAAAATGAATAAAACAGCAGCGTGTATCACGGTTTGATAAATATCACATACTATTGGTTCTCCCCTAGTTTTGATTTGTTCTTAACCAATTTAAACTTTATTATTCCTCATTTAAATATTTGAGATATGTGTATGCAATAAATAAATAACCGCCAGTATATCTACTTTTCTTTTGTTCTAAAAAAGGAGAAAAGTTGGAAAAACAATTCCCATTATTGGCCTTACTGTTAAATAGTAAGGCAAATAGACATGGGTTTACAGTCCTAAACCCATGTTTGTTTATTCTCACTACTAATGTTGCACTTTTCCTTCTACCTTGATATTGTATTTGTTAAACAATAATAAAATAAAAAAACATAAATAAATATGTCTGTATTAATGTGCTTTTAGCAAAGCTACTTTGCAGATACAGAACATAAACTAGTTATTTATTGCCTGGTGAATTACACGGTCAAGCCAGTGAAACTAAAAGTAAAACAAAATTGCATATTATTTAAATAATCAAACTTAAATCTCAGATTTAAACCTTTGAAGTGAAGCATATGAGGATATCATCCCCAAAGGTTTAACTAATAAAATATAAAGCACATGGTTTACCCTTTGAATGCCTTACATTATATAAGACATCAGCATCAAAGCATGCTGCGCAATAAAGAGCTAGCATTGTGCTAATTAGCTGCTAATGTACGAAATAATCCATAAACCACCGGTCTATCGGTTAGCTTAAAGCTAATCTGACAAAAACACATTTCTCAACATTTTACAAAATAAAAATTCAACTCACCACATAGGGAAATGCAAGTACGAAGTATTTTTGTTTCGTCTGCAGACGGAATAAACTACTTCCGGTCCGGCGTCTACTCACTTCCGGGGTTCCTTAAATCATTGTAAATACCCTTTAGAGCCCTCTAGTGGAACGGAAAGGAATGACCCCAACATCACGAAAGAAACTCCTCCATACTGGACTGGAGATTAAAAGAAAATTAGATACATTTATCAGCACCTATTTTTTTAATTCAGTTAATTTAGGTTAGATACCACCTTACTGAAAATATTAAGTATTCCACTAAATTATTGAGATTTAAATAATTAAATTTCGTCTTGTCCAAACAGAAAAATGGATTTTATGAATTGTGTTTCACTAGTCACAGCCTTCAGAGGTCATGATTCAACAATAAGAGAGAGACACTGAGCAGAACCAGTGCTGCTGACCCAAAAGAATACAAAGACACGTCTCACGTTACCCAGAAACGTCTGGAGAAATGTTCCCTGGTCCCGTTACATCTGAACATCTAACAGCTTTTCAGAAACATGGTGGTGACGGTATCATGGTCTGGGCCGCTTTGATGCTTCAGGAAGACCTGCAGTAATTAATGAATGGAGATAAATCTGAAGAATATTATCTGAAAACCCATTCCTGGCCTGCACTCTAGCCCAATTTGGGCTTTGAATAGGACACTTTAGGGTGGCTTAATTAAAGTTCAGACTTCAATCCACTCAATATCACTCCCTCCAGTTTTTTATTATATTTGAGCAAAATCAAAATGCTAAATTGCTAGTTTATTGCAAATGTTTCACGAAAATGGTCAAACATTTGAATTAAACTGACGCCAAATCCCACCTGTAGGTGGCAGTATTTATGATCTCCACAATGATGCCTCAGCCTTATTTAATGTGAATTTATAGTCTAGATCAAAGTGGACTGTAACAGAAAGTCACATTTATTGTCATACATAAATGCAAATATCACAAAATATCTTACAAATATTTAGAAAGAAAG